TTCGAGAATGAGCGTATTAAAACGCTACAGGAGGAGCGTCTACATATACAAAAGAAGACGTTTACAAAATGGATGAATTCATTTTTGGTAAAAGTAAGTAATCATTTCATTTAACTCTGATAAATTTATACTATTTGCATATGTACGTATCAGAAGCACTTCTTTCCCTCCATTCCAACCATTTTTGTTGCATATTCCAATTTACTGCCAACCGCCGCTTAAGAAATTTAACTTCAATAAATATTTGGCGCCTATACTTTTGATAAGCGTTCAGCGGAGCTTCTCCGAGCTTCTCTTTCCGTTTGCTTAAATGCCAAAGTTTCCACCCAAAAATCGCTTGCGTGGTCCGATGGAGAAACTGATAAATTTAAATTGAGTTTCTCAACGAAAATGCCTACATCCACGCCGGATTTAATTTTTGATCCATCTGTAAATACCGCCATGTTCTCGAAGCACTGGGCCCCCGACCCGAATCCACCCACTGTGGCTAACGAATTTTGTTCGGTTTGGGGGTTAGTCCAGGCCTTTGGCGTGATATATATGTAGTCAGTGGGCAAGCAAGTGAAAAATTTATGCGCCAGCAATATACTTTCCTTAGAGCGTCTTCTAAAATTTCTCTCATAAGCCAAGCTTACTGGTAGTATGTACATATGTATGTATATTCAACACTAAAAGCCATTATAGCGACAAAAGCAATGCACTAAACGGCTGCAGCACCAAATAAGAGGAAGAAGAATATTTAATTACTTTTAAATAATATGACTTTTAAGTTAAAGCGCGCGAGTAAACGTGTTAGCTGGCATTTTATAGTGCTACGGGGCGTATACATTACATTCACAACTACGGGGTGAGCACGAGTTGTTATATGGCCTTTTCTATAACTTTTTTAAGTATTTATTTAAATAAAATTTCGCAGTTATGCACAACTGAAGATAATGCACTGTCTAAGGTAAGTGTGCCACCATTGAGCGCTTTTGTCGAAAAATATAACAACTCGTGGGATTTGCTTATATATGTATGTATGTATGTACATTAGGGTGGTCTTCAGAGAATAATGCCCAATTGTTTATTTAAACATTTTTTAATTTTAACTATTTTTTAAGGGTCTCCGAAATATCCCCAAAAAAATCAAATATACAAACAGAAATATACAAAAGAAAAAAAGAAAAAATGGTTTAAATTAAAAAACGTTTAAATAAACAATTGGGCATTATTCTCTGAAGTCCTCTGAAGAGAAGCAGAGTTTTCAGATTGAAAACTTTTGATTTTCATGGATTCTATGCCATTTCTACGAAAAGTCTTTTTTCCCCCATACAAAATACATGGGAAACTTTGAGCGCTTTGAGCGACCTCTAAATATATTTTGATTTTAAAATAAAAAAACAGGGGTATATTTTTTTTCGGTATAGAACAATCCTAGGGGGTGAGAGCATTAAATTTCCGATTTTACTTTTCTCCCATACATTTTTGGAGCATACTATTGAAAATTAAAATAAAAACCAAATTGCTTATTATTTAAAGATTTTTAGGCCGTAATAAAATGACAGTATGCATACTATGTCTGTGTGTATATTTCTCAAATTGGTTTAGAAAGTTTCTTTTGTCCAAAATATGAACAATGGGACGTCAAAGTTTTTCCTTCCAGGCTACAATGGCAATATGCATATTAAAGAATCCAATATATATATCAATACAATATGTATATGCATATGTATATGTTTTATGAACAAATCTACCAGTGTATGTGTGAACATATCGCACACAATCTTCAAAGGTGACATAACTCAAAATTACACTTTCATCAGAAAATGCGAAAAACTATTTCTTAGCACTGTAGCAGTTAATCATATGGGCAAGCAAGACTTAAGCTTAGGTTTTTTTCAACAAATTATAACAAAAATTTTTTCCAGCTTTTGCTGAGAGATAAATAAAAGCTCTGTGTACATTTTTAGTGTATAATTAAAAAAAGCCAAATTTTGAGTTGTGTCACTTTTAAAGATGCTGTGCGATATACATACATATATGTAGTATAAGTTTATTAAATACATATTAGAGCTATCCAAATATACTCACTCTACTTTGTTGTTGTCGTTGCAAGCCCATCAAGTCTGATTAAAAGCACACAATACAGAAGCTAATAAAAATCTTAAACAGCTACTTAGTAGCTATGAGATAATTGCACAGAAACTTACTTATTTTGTTGTTTCATTTTGTTACAGGCAAAAATGGAGGTCGAAGACCTATTCACAGATCTAGCCGATGGCATCAAATTACTTAAGTTGCTGGAGATCATATCGTCGGAGAAACTGGGAAAGCCGAATAGCGGTCGAATGCGTGTTCACAAAATCGAAAATGTCAACAAGAGTCTGGCCTTCCTGCACACCAAGGTAAGTAAGCAACTGCGATAGCAGAATTACAACAACTGCAAATAAGATTCGTCATTTTGTTTTGTTTGGCAGACGCGTTTACTTTTACTGAATGTATGTATGTATGTATGTGTGTAGCTGCGATCCAAAACATACACATTTAATTATCCATGTATGTAAGCATTTAAGTCTAGAACCGGTTCTAAAGGAAGATTTATAAGACTAGCTCAGAACCAGGCCATTTTGGTGAAGTCCAAGCTCTTGTTATATAGGCTTTGCTATTATTAGCAACAGATTCAGATACAAATATACATTGGCTTCTATAAATACTTACCTGTGAGATACTGAATTGCTGCTGTGTCAACTTTCCAGCAATCACGATATTTACATAGATTGTATGTAGCAGAATGTGGAACTAGTATAGTTAATTGTTGTTATACTGACCCGTCCCAATTTTTCTCCGAGTGAGGGAGCAGCATAGAAACCGACAACTAACTGGCGCAGTGTTCGTGCCGTGGCATATGGCCATTGATGGCGTACGAGAGCAAACCACTGGGGGCCTTATACAATCAATCGAATTGAAAAGAATTGCTCTGTGCACGCGCAGCTGTCGCGCTAATATTAACGTGCGCCTGCGCAATGAATGCATGCATTTGCGATCGATTGCATTCGTAGCAGTATTGCGCGCTGCGTGCTTTGTATGAAAAGCACGTCGTTGCTGCTGCCTTTCCCCAACCAAAATGCATACCATAAATAAATGCGTAAACGCGTGCCTGCACACATTTTTTTGTATAGTTTTAAATGTGTTTGTTTATATGTATGTATGTGTATAAATATGTACTTGAATATGCCTGGCATATACGCACCTCTCTACGTACATATGTACATTCAAACATGCACACACTTATTATAGTATATGTTTGGCGATTCCCAGTGGGAAAATGTAATTGACGGTAATCGAAAAAATAATCAGTAGAACAGCCGTTTCGGCATTCGAAAATGCATTTTTTTCCCACGGCCATGTCCTACAAAAAGTGGTGCATTCAATTTTGCATTACCTAGTATCGAGAAATGAATGTGATTTAATATGAATTTTTTTGGACTTTTTGGATACATTGGAATGCCGATTACATATTAATCAGTAAAAGAATCATAAACTCATAAGAAGAGCATTACATTATTTATCACTACGGTGACCATTCGTACGTATATTTTGGCGGTACAGTACCGATTTTGAGAAAATTGTCCCGCTGAATATTTTTTAAAAGTCGGGACGTATAAGTGCCCTGATTTTTCATATTTGTACAGATTATATCGCGATTTTAAGTGCTTTCTTTATTAGTTTAAAAAGAGTCGCCCTGTACTCTGACCCAAAAACAATTTTTCTAACAAACGTGGCAGAAAATTCGGTATCACAAAGAACATAGAATATAAAGGAGCCATAAACATTCCTTTTTAGGATCTTTGGTTATGTTTTATTCAAAGATATAAATAGGCAAGAGACAACATTCTTTGGCTATTGTTTTTATTTTATGAAATTGTAGCTCGTTATTTAACAAAGACCATGCAAGTAAAAATTTCAAACGTTGTACAAAAATTAGCTAAGTTCGACAGTTTCATCAAAATTTTGAGATTTTTAATTAGATTGCTAAGAAATATTCCAGGTATGCAGATTTGCAGCCTATTCAATTCAAAGTTAAAATTTTAAGTTGTTTTGACTTACCATTAATTTTGTAAAATTTTTCTAATTTTTTTAGATAGTAAGCTATATTTTCATAAAAAATAATAAAACATTTTTAAACAAAGAAAAATAGCCATTTTCGTTGTTGGTGTTTCCGACAGGGTAGGAGTGTGATGTAATGTGGAACGATTTTCCGTCATCCCTTGTCAAATTTGGTTTGGAGACAAACCGGTTTCGGCGTTGTGCCATCATCAGTGTCATTTTTCGTTCTGTAGCCAAAACTCGCCGAAATGTCTCTTCCCTATTGACATTCTCGCCACCGTATATATTTTGTGTATACATTTTTGCGATAATTTTTCAAGTTTTTTCTCTTTGTTTTGTTTTAAATAAAACTGTATTAAAAGTTGTTATGTTTTTTTATTCTAAAAACAAAATTGTATGTTCGGATTCGATGCATTACAAATGTCCCGATCTTTATCCACAGAAATCTGGTCACCGTATTTATCACGCATGTAATGCATTACTACTTTTATCACTGGGTTGTAAGTCGGTTAGTACGTGTGCGCCATTTACACACCTCTTGCCATTTCTTTTGTTTCTTTTTATTTGGCTTAGCTTTGGTGTAACTGCTGCATTATATTAGCTATGCATGTATGTACATATGTATTTTTATTTTTT